GGGGGGGGGGGGGGTTTCCAATGGAAGGAGGTGCTAATGGGGGCTCTATGAGACAGGCTGAGAGCCCCTGGAATAGAGAGAGAGACAGAGACACACAGACACAGTAAGACACATGGACGGACACGAGAGAGCCCCCCAGATAACTTCTCGTGGCCCCCCCCAGCCCTGTGCCCCACGGCTCTCCCTGCAGCCCCGTGGCCTCCGGTTGCCTCCTGGGCTGACGTGCCTGGACGGGCGGCTGTGGTGGGTGGGGCGAGCCGGGACACCGTGAACAATAGGTGCTGAAATCAAAGGGCTCCCTGCCTTTTCCCACGGTTCCTGCGCGGCTGATCAGTGCTGGGGCCTGCCCAGACACAGCCCGAAACGCCACGCTGCTCCTTGCGTCACCACACTGGGACTGAGTCGGCATGACCCGGGCCACCGGTTCCATCCCACATGCCAACACACAGACACACACACATGTGAACAGAGGGACACGTGGACATACGCACATAACACGAACCCCTGCACAAACGCGCACACATAAATGCCCCAACACATGCACACGTACACACACACACACACACACACAGACCCCCGAACACAAATTCATCTCTCCAAACCCATATACACAATGTATAGCGTCAATGCACACAGACACACATGCACCCACCCTCTAATTTGCACACACACGGGCACAAACACACACACACACGAGGCAGACACATGAGCACAAATACAAAAACACGTCTGCACGCAGCCACACAACCTGGCTTTCGGGGTTCAGCGTGGGGAGAAAGCTCCAACCGTTGGTTATGTAGCACACCCAGTGCAGTAACACCCGGAGGCTGACCCAGGCCAGCGTCCCATGGTGCCAGGAGCTGGCACATACCCTCCTTTTAATTGCAGCTGTGGCACTGTGCACAGGCCCTCCTTGCCAGCCTCTAGGCATCCCAGTCAAAGGCCCTCTCCTCACAGGGCCTGGCCAGAGCCCCGAGGGAGCCAACTAGCTGCATGTTCCCCCATGCTGCCCCTTTGCCTCTCCTCCCTGCGGGTGCATGTGGCCCCAGGCTGCCTCCAGCGACCTACGGCATGTCCCAGCCAGTCCCTGCCGCTCCAAGGGCTCCCAAGACAACAGAGATGGCTGGGCGATGACTCAAGTGTTTATGGAGGACAGAGCTTCCCTTTGAATGGCTCTGTGGGAGCTGTGCACTCCAGCCTCCTGGATTCCCAGCCTCTGGGATCACGAGCGTTGTTGGTTGGGAATGCAGCCGCAGGTCTGGGACCGGGCTAATGGGCACCCAGCCTTGGCTGGCAGGAAGAAGACGGAGGTGAAATTGATTTTGTGGGCTGGAGTGGGAGGGCACTGCTCAGGGGAAGCTTGCAGCCTTGCAGTCCCAGCTGCCGGAGGCTTGCCCATGTGAAATCACAGCTGGCACAGGCAGCACCTGGCAAACCTCAAACAACTCAGCTGGGACTGACCGGCTGACATGCAGAATATGCCACCCAACTAGAGATTGTGAAGAGCATGTTAGACAAACCCCTGTCAGGGATGGTCTCAGATCATGCTTAATCCTACCACAAGTGTGGGGGACTGGACTAGATGACCTCTCGAGGTCCCTTCCAGTCCTACGATTCTACGTCACCAACTCGCTGGCCTTGAGGTAGCCAGGAACGAAGCCAGGCCTATGGCTTGGCCAGGGAGGGCAGCCATCGACCGGCACGTTGACCCAGAACACAGCCCTTCTCGGAGCGCCGATCCTCAGCGTGAGCTGGTTGTCATCGGGATTCGAACCCGGGACCTCCAGAACTAAAACACCAGCTGCTGCAGGAGTAACTCCACTAATTGGTAGCTGTAGTAGGCTCTCTCGTGGGTCACACCAGCTCCTCATGCCCATATTCCGGCTGGAGGCGGGTGGGGAGTGGGCACCCCCTTGGAATCTGCAACCATGGCAAACTCCCCTATGAGACCCAGAGCCCGGTCCGGCCAATCCCCTGAGGCTGGGCGGCGAGTCCAAACTTTGGGGTGCTTCTCAGACCTGAGCCCCCCCCCCTCCAGCATCAGCCCCCGACAGAGGCACAGGCCAGCCCTGCCCCGGGAGCTGCGCTGGGAAGGGGAGCCGTGCCCGCAAGAGGTGGGCTCACACTTACCGGGTCCAGTTGTAGGTGGGTGGGGGGTTGCCCTCGCCAAGGCACTTCAGCGAGACGCCCTCCTTGCCCGCCTGCCAGTCCTCCTCCTCCTCGTGCCCTCGCACTGAGGCGTCCGAGAGATCTGGGCAGGGGGAGGGCAACAACCGTGAGAGGGGAGAGAGAGAAACGCCCACCTGGGCCCTCCCTTCACCCCCCTGCCTGGGCCCTTCCCATTGCTGACCCCACGCCCACCTTGGTCTGTGCAAACGTGTCCCACCCCAAGCCCCTCAACTAACCCCCTGGGGCCCCATGTGATCTGGGGTTCCCCTTCAGCCCCCCACCCCAGGGTATATGCCCTCCCACTCGGATGGCAGCTCCCCTTGGGTGTCTCTGCTCCTCCCCCTGCTCCATAGCACCCCCCAGTGGGTCTCTGCCCCCCATGACAACCCCCAGGGGGTCTTCGTCCTACCCCATGCCAGACCCCTAGGGGGCCACTACCTCCGTGGCAGGCCCCTAAGGGTCTCTGCCCCTCCCCCATAGCATGTCCTGGAGGGGATCTCTGCCCCCCATGGCAGCTTCCCAAGGGGTCTCTGCCCCACCCCCATGGCACCTCCTGGATGGGATCTCTGCCCCCCAAGGCAGCTTCGCTGTGGGTCTCTGCTCTTCCCCATGGCTGCCCCCCAGGGCTGTGTCCCCTGAGGTGGGACGTACAGGCGACATTCAGCACGTGGGTGATCCTCTTCTCGTGCGGCAGCCCCGGGTGGCTGACGACGCAGGTGAGCGTCTTGCCGTTCATGCTGCGCCCGGGCACCAGGAAGAACTCGCTGGTGACGGAGGCCGAGCGGGGGTGCAAGGACTGGCGGGTGCTGTTGGTGCCGTGCACCTGCGTCTCCCAGGTCACGGTGGGCATGGGGTTGCCCTCGGCTGTGCAGGAGGCGGCCAGCGTCCTCCCCTGCCCTTCCTCCAGCCGGGGGCCGGGGTTCAGGGATGGCAGCGGGGGCACTGCAGGGAGAATGTAGAGCGGTGACGGGGGTGTGAAAGGCAGCATCCCCCGGGACCCCACGCAGTCTGGAATTTGCACACACACCCCGCCAGGTTCCCACGCAGCCCGACTACTGCCCACCCCCCACCCCCTGGGCTCCACGCAGCCCGGCTACTGCCCCCCCGCCACCCCGGGGTCCCACACAGCCCGGCTACTGCCCACACCCAACCCCTTGGGTCCCATGCAGCCCGGCTACTGCCCCCCCGCCACCCCCAGGGCCCCACGCAGCCCGACTACTGCCCCCCCACCCCCAGGGCCCCACGCAGCCCGGCTACTGCCCCCCCCCTCCCCGGGCCTCACGGAGCCCAGCTACTGCCCCCCCACGGGGTCCCACGCAGCCCAGCTACTCCCCCACCGCACCCCAGGGCCACACGCAGCCCAGCATTTGCACACCCCCATGGGTGTTTGCACGCCCAGCTACTGCTCCCCTCCACAGGACCCCATGCAGCCCACCTACTGCCCCCCACCCCCATGGGGTCCCACACAGCCTGGCTACTTCCCCCTAACCCCACCGGCCCCCACACAGCCAAGCTACTGTCCCGGGATGAGGGGTTTGGGGATGCAGGAAGGGGCTCCGGGATAGGGCAGGGGTTTGGGGGGCGGGGGAGTGAGGGCTCCAGCTGGGGGTGCAGGCTCTGGGATGGGACTGGGGATGAGGGATTTGGGGTGCAGGAGGGGGCTCCAGGCAAGGGCAGGGGGTTGGGGTGCAGGGGAGTGAGGGCTCCAGCTGGGGGTGTGGGCTCTGGGGTGGGGCCGGGGATGAGGGGGTTGGGGTGTGGGAGGGGACTCCGAGCTGGGGCAGGGGGTTGGGTGCCGGGGAGGGAGAGGCTCCGGCTGGGGGTGGGGCCAGGAATGAGGGGTTTGGGGTGTGAGGTCCCGGCAGCGCTTACCGCAGCTCCGAGGAAGCGGCCGCCAGGTCCCTGTGGCCTCTAGGCACGTGGGCGACCAGGCGGCTCTGCGCGGTGCATGCTGCCTTCGCGCCCGGAGGCACCACCCTCACGCAGCTCCCATTGGTCATGGTTCCTAGCCAATGTGAGCTGTGGAGCCGGTACTCAGGGCGGGGGCAGCGCGTGGACCCTCCGAGTGCCTGGCTGCCCAGTGCCCCAGCGCCTAGGGGCCGGAGGGACCTGGCAGCCGCTTCTGGAAGCCAGGCAGAGCTACGGCAGGCAAGGAGCCTGCCTTAGCCCCGGGCCCCCGCTGCGCTGCCAATCGGACTTTAAACGACCCGGTCGGCGGTGCCAACCAGAGCCGCCAGGATCCCTTTTCCACCAGGCGTTCCAGTCGAAAACCGGACACCTGGCAACCTTAGGCCCCCGCCACGGAACCCCATGCAGGCCCAACTCCTGTCTCGGGGCGCCCTGCACAGGCCCTGCTCCTGCCTTGTGGGGGCCACTCGGGGCCTGGCTCCTGCCCCCCAAGGGACTCGCACTCCAGGGGGCCCTGAACAGACTCAGCTCCTCCCCCAAAGGGCCCCACGCAGACACCCCACCCACCCCTCCAGGGCCACCCCTGCATACCCAGCTCCCCCTACACTCACTGTATAGCCCCCACGCCTTCGGGGTCCCTCTCCCCCGACACAGGCCTGGCCCGGAGACCAAGCGTTCAGGTCCCCTGCAGGCTGCGGCTCAGGGCTGCTCCCATCCCTGTGGCCGGGGCACCCCCATATACCCCCGATCTCTGCAGTGGCCTAGCCGGCTGGAGTGGGGAAGGCAGATCTGCCCACAGCCAGCCCAGCAGAGCCAAAGGCACCTGTAGGGCAGAGCCAGGCAGCCCCAGTACCCCGTGCCCAGACCCTCACCCAGCACGCTGAGCGTCATGCTGTCCTGGAAGTTGCCCGAGGGGAAGGTGATGAGGCGGCATTCGTAGGCGCCCTCATCGGCCTGCACGGCGTTCTTCAGCACAATGGCACCGTCCTCCAGCGGCCCCGGTGCCCGCCGCAGCACCCGCCCCGCGTAGGGCTCCTGGACGTGCTCCCCGTACTCCAAGTTCAGCACCGCCACCTCCACATTCTGCCCGTCGGCGCCCTGCTTCAGCCACGTCACCTGCACCACCTTCTCGCCCTCCTGCGCCCGATAGCGGCACGGCAGCACCACGTCCTGGCCCAGCACTGCGGTGACGCTGCGCTCCATCTCCAGCACCCCCGCCAGGGACCCTGCGGGCACAAGAAGGGGATGGGTTAACCCATGGCCCCCAGGGAGGGAAGACATCCCCCCCCAGTCACTCAGAGCAGGCTGGGGCTGTGCCAGGATCCATGAAGGTGAAATTCTCTCTTTGCCCACAGAAGAGCCCAGGCAAGTTTCCCCCCCACACACACACACAAGCCCCCAGTCTACCCAACCTGGGGGGATGGGGACCCTCTGGGCTCAGCCCGTGCTAGACCAAACTGGGCCAGGGGGTCCTACTCCACAGAACAGGATCCCAAGCCTCTATGGGATCAGAAGGTGCGGAGCTTGCAGGACGGAAGTGGCACTGCCACAAGCCCGTGGCTGTGAGTAGCAGGCCCCTGGGAGGAGAAGGCAGACACTAGCTCCCCTTCCTGGCCACAGAGACAGTGGGGGATCTCCTGGGACATTCCCCCGTACTGGGAACAAAGCTCTCTCAGGCAGGCACGGACGGGACAGATAGTGCAGGAGACTAGGAGTCAGGACCCTGGGGTCTAATCCTGGAGCTGCTACTGATTGGATCCGGGACCTTGGGTAAGTCACATCACCCCCCGCTGCCTCGGTTTCCCCTTCTGTGACACATGGATGACTCGGCCTTGCCTCCCAGCACCCTTGCGAGGGCTGAATTCCTGCTCTGAGCCCGTCAGGACTAGAACCCAGGAGTCCTGACCCATGCCTGTGCTGTGCCCACGAGGCACTCCGTGCTCTTCAGCCCCCCAGCGCCACTAGCCCCTCGACATTATGCAAACACGCCCCACTGAGCAGCTGTTTTGCCACCAACAGTACACGGGCGTCCTCGCTGTTCCCTGGCACTGGGCTGAGTCGTGGCAGCTATGTGGTGGGTCCCAGCGTGGGTGGAAACGTTTCCATAGGACCCAGGACGGTCCCTCTTCATCCAGGAATCATTGCACCGATTCCTCCAGCCTGGCATCCCGCAGCATCCAAGGCCAGAAGGGACCGTTGTGATCAGTGTCTGGGACAGGCCCAGGGCAGTGGGGGACTTTTTACCATTTTCTGAAGTGCCAGCTGGAGGCAGGGTAGTTGCCTCCATGCACCAACCGGCCAGTCGGATCAAAGCTGCATTCCTATAACGTGCCCTAAGGCCACGTAGTCACACAGCCACCCAACTGGGAACGCTACTTGGGCCCCTCCTCTAACCACAGGACCTCCCTCCCTCCCAGAGCTGGGAACAGAACCCAGGAGTCCTGAGGCCCAGTCCTGGTGCACTAACCATACTAGACCCCTGCAGCCATCTCAGAAGAGACCAATGGGCCATTCAGCCCCTTATCCTTTGTTCAAATTTCCTTGACTTCCCCCCATCTGTCTGTATCCAGCTGTTGCCTCTTGTCTTACACTCAGATTGTCAGCTCTCGGGGCAGGGGCAGTCTCTGTCCTGTATTTGTACAGCACCTAGCGCAACGTGGGCCTGGCCTGTGACTAGGGCGCCCAGGTGCTACTGTAATACACCTAATAAATAACATACAGCGCCTGCACTCTGGGGCCTGGTCCATGGCTGGGGCTATGGTAAGGCAAAGAATAAATAAATAATAAAGAATGGCAAACAACCCTCAGTCCTTCCTGACCCCGAGCTGGCATCAGCCCCCGCCCTGAAGCACGGGTTGGATAGTTCAGGTGACCGTGCATCCTTGCCGACAAGTCTGAGCGACTCAGCTCCTGCGAGGAAGGCGCTGACTGCATTTCAGACGGGCCAGCCCACAGCGCACCCCTCTGCGGATCGCCGCCTCGCGCAGGGGAAGGGCGTGCGGCGCTCAGACCTGGCCTCTCTCCAGCCGGAGCCACCAGCTGAGGAATGCTGCTCCCTCTGGGGAAGCGGACGGGCCAGCGAGTCCAGATAAACCGGCCTGCTCAGATACCAGGGGCCGTGCAGCAGCTTGTGCAGATTCCACTCCCTTCCTCTCCCCACATCCTCCCCTTCGCCCCAACTCGAGGAGGGGCCTGCGCGGCTGGCTCAGGGCTGGGTGAAGGCAGGGAGAGCCCTGCCCCGCTGGAGGGGGCTCAGGCACTCCCCACCTCCTTGGTGGCTCCCCTGGGAATTTCAGAATGGGGCTCGGTGCATTTCCCCTGGTTCCCCAGGCACCAGCATTGCTGCCTCTTAGGCTAAGGGCTCTCAGGCGGATACCCCAGCCCGTCCGACTTCACAGCCACCTGCACTGGAGTCCTGCCCACCCCCACCATTCCCAGCTGAGCAACTGACACATACAAGGCGGAAAGGGACAGGTCCCATAGCTGGGCCAGTAGCCCGGGAGTGCGGGGCCAGAGGAGTCCCCCACTTGGCCCTATGGCTGCTCGTGGGAGCTCTCTCCAGGCCAATGGGCCCCCAGGGAGCGGAGAAGTTGCTTTGTTACATTTAGAAGCCATTGAAAATAACTGATCGGAGATCCCACCTACTGGGAGTCAGGGGCCAAGTCCCTGGCTGGGGTAAATTCAGCATTCCTAGCGCGATGCTCGTTGACACCAGTCGGAGTCTGGCGCCCTGGCATCTGGATTTACCCATTGAACAGCAGGGATTCTACATGCAATCCTGGAAAACATGCAGCTCTAGAAAGATCCAGTCCACCAGCATGGGTTCTAGAGCTGCCCATTTGAATGCCAGGGGTTCTAGATTTAGAACAGCACATGAGCCTTTGGGGTTCCAAGATCCATTTTCCTTTGGAAAAACCTGCACTCTTAGCTGCTGCTGCTTTGATATTAATGATCATTATTATTATTACACAGTACTGACTTCCACTGAATTGGAAACTGGTGGGTTCCAAATTAGTTTTGATCAAGTGAAAAATGGCTACAGAAAACTTAAACCAAACTTTTTTTTTCTCTTCTAAGTACAGATTTGGTGAAACCCCAAAGGCCCATGGACCCTCCCATCACAACTCGGAAAGGCACCGTCATAGGACTGGGTCAGTCCGACTCCCCTCGTCGCTAGCAGATGGTGGAATTCTCAGGTTGTAATTGTTATTCGACGCGATGGAGGGAACCGTCCCTGTACGTTCTCAGTGTGGAGATGGGTCACATGAATCTGATGATCACAGATTTTGAAGCCAAGGGAATGTTAGATCCTCTCGCCTGACTGCCTGTAGCTCACAGGCCAGTAAATTCCAGTTCCCTCTGTACTGAGCCCAGTAACTTGACATCCGCTCGGCATCTGAAGACATCACAAGATGGAGAATCCACCACTTCTCTTGGGAGTTTGTTCCACTGGTCAATCACTCTCAATCTCAGACACGTGCCTTGATTTTTAATGGAATTTGCCTGCCTTTAACTTCCAGCCATTCGTCCTTGTTCGGCCTTTCTCCACTAATGAGCCCGTTAGTACCCAGGATTTTCTCCCAGGCTGTTACACCATGATCAAGTCACAGGGTGTGTAAATCAAATACACAGTTTGCGCTGTATGAACTAGTTACATACATCGTCCAATCAGCTAACAGCAACGAGGCCGTGTGACTTAATGTAACTAGCTGACAGCACAAATTGCAGATCTCACCATGGAATATAAAAGGGATCCCCATTGGATACCATGCGACATTCGCTTTCAGGAACTCTGTGACCGCAGGTGCTAAAAACACGCTGCAGGCAAAGATTTGCACTGCCAGCCCCGTGGCCCGGGAACGGCCCCAGCTGGGGAGCGTGGAGGGGTCCCACTTGCACGGCTGGATCAAAAGAAAGAGCGTTCTTGGGAGCCAACCGTGTGGGGTGAAACTGCAAATCTCCAAGTTGGAGGCTTTGGAACTGTGGCTACCAATATTCTGCACAGCCTGGAGCTTCCCATGGGAGACCTTACCCCGTCCTGGGGCTTGAGCATGGGGCAGCTGCTAGGGTGAAGCCCTGACCCCAGTGGCACAATTCCCACTGAGTCTGATGGGCCAGAGTTTGCCCCTAGCGGTGCCTTAGGGAGACGCCCTCCCTGGAGTCACTGGCCAGTGAAATTCACTCCTGGGCAGAGGGGGCTGCAGACCCTGAGGGGTTGGACTGAAGCCAGACTGGGGCCCAGCCAAGCCTTACATTACAAAAGACCATCTGCAGCATAGCCAGGGCCTCCAGCTGGCAGGTGGCAGAGCCTAGGTAGCTACTACACTCGCTGGCAGCCCAGCTCCCCCGTCAGCGCCGGCAGGAGACAAAGAGGGAAATGTCCAGCGGAAGTTCCCATGGTCAGGCAGTGCCCAGGCCCAGTGCTCCCTGCCCAGCTGGGACCAGTGCCCAGTATGTAAGAGGGAGGTGGGGAGCTCATTGCCCACATCCCCCTCCTTGGCTTGCTGTCCCTGCGCTGCCCTGCCCGTCTGAACTCTTGCCAAGGGACCAACTCAGCTGTACAGGTCCCCGCTCTCGCTGTGCCCGGGGGTGTCGCCTGTATGTCCATCCCCACGTGAAGGTGTGATTGAAGCAAGGGGTAGCAGCGGTAGTGTAGACACAGCAGTACGGGCTTCAGCACCGGCTAGCTCCCGGGGGCGTGGCCTGGGGCGGCTAACCGGCTACAGGGCTGCTGTTACCCCAGCTAGATTACAGTACACATTTATCCGACAATTCAGTACTTGACCATTGCTTATCCATACAGCGAATCACCCATCCGGACATTGTACTTATCACAGCATTTACTCAATGGATGCTAAGCATATGCAGTCTCTGCTCATGAGAGACTGTTTCCGTATGCTCATTTTAGCATTAAGCTTGTAGGTTGGTTTGTAAGTGATCAGTGATAAATGTAGTAAGAAAACCAAAACAGAACAGATTCAGTGTATTTTTAAACAAAGCTGGTAGGGGAACCACTGGAGGTACTAAAGTCTAAGCCTGGAACTCTGTGCAGGATTTCCCAAACACTTCTTTAGCACAACATAAATAAGAAAGCTCACCCACAAAAAGACATATGGGGCTGAGAGCGAGTTGTGTCAGTCACCACTCATCTGCTACCTCCCTACGCGGCACTTGCAGTGTAGATGTATTCTGTCTGCGTGTTTCTGTGCATGCCCGTGTGTGCCTC